CAAAGAGTCACTGCCTCACCGGCCCTCACTGAATAAAGCCACTGATAGCCACTGATATAGCCATTGACAACTTGTGACAACTGGACATAATCTTTACATATATCGTTGCGATCTTTGTAGCAACTGCCATTGATATTTATGTGCAGAGACACCCTGTTGCAGAGTGGGCCTCAGAGCTTGCCTTCATGGTGGGTGATGGCCTTAATTGAACATGGATCTGGACACGGCAAGAACTGCTGCAATCGATTCCATCTGAAAAGGTTGCAACAGGTATTTGAGTTTGTTGAATCAAAGATCATCAAAGATCATCAAAGATCAAGAGGGGAGGATCGAGGGGCCTATGGGGCCGAAGGGGCCGAAGGGGATCAAGACTAAACGTTAGATCATAGACGTGTATTTATCATAAATCATGATAAATCCCAAATGCCAAGACATGGCACAGAGCAAAACCATGAAGAGAGGAGCCGTGTCAAGGCACATTTGCACTGCGAGGCTGTTGGACTGAGGAGCGTTCTCCAAACCCGGGAAGCCATCTGCACCACCTGGACCTGTGGAAACTGTTGTGTAAATGTGTGATAAATGTTTGAAAATCCGTGAAGATCCATTTTGAAAACATATGGATAATTATGGATACGCTTTTTGGATTCGTTGAGCTCAGCGATCCTCAGTCATCATGGTCCAACTTGGGTCTCTCGAGCTCAACTGGACCAGTCTAGCAACACCAATGGAAGCCGGAAGCAACTCCCACCTGTGATGATGAATGGCCTGTCCTGGAGCTCAATCCGCGAACATGACATGGCACAACAATTCGATATTTGCCCTGCATGGGTTGATGTCTAGACATTCTGGACCTAGACCAAGATGTTTCCGGTTGGCACTGATGCCTTTCTCGAACAAATCAAGCAGATGCTGATACTCATGGGCAGCTTGTATGCCAGGATATGCCCCGATATGTCAGTCTGACCATGAACTCAATCTGTAAAGGAAGGGTGCTTTTTCCTAGCCCAAACCACACCTCATTGGAGCCAACCTGTGGCGAAGTTTCCGCCCAAGATCAAAGAGCCTACTTCATGGCTACCTTTCAGGCACTACATTTCTGTGAAAGAACTGTTCGACCTATGCGAAGCCAAGTGACGTGAATTGACATAGTCGACCTACCGCTTCAAAGAAAAACACATAAAGACTGCGTCTAACTTTGAAAGTACCTCTTTCGAATCGTTTTGCCTCTGAACACCTGCGCCACCTCCCCCGTAATACGCCGCCTCTCGTTGGTGGCTGCCTGACTGCAGCTAGAGCTACTGGAGCTACACATACTTGCCATGCACGGTTTAAATTGATGTATTGAAAGGAGCCAAAAGAATTGCAGCGACCCGATCGGCTGGGCCTCCAGTTGAATTTGAACACACTGGTATCACATGGTAAAACATGGTGAAAATGTACTGCAATTACCGTGAATTCTGTGGCTTCCCTGCGGCCTGGCATGATGCTCGGGGAGTCAACCTGAACAGAATCTTGCATCAGTTTAAGAGATCTCAAGAAGGTGCCAGTTCAATTTGAGATAAGCACCAGCGGTCACTCCGTCAGCATCTTTTTGACAGTTCAAAAGTTCAAGCCAGAAACTTCTTCCACTTCTTCCACTTCTTCCAATTCTTCCACTTCTTCTACTTCTTCCACTCCTTTCACTCCTTTATCTCCTTCAGTTCTTTAGTTCATGTGTGCTACGGCGCTACGGAGTGAGGTGCCAACCAAGGCGACGGGATCATCTGATTTCCTCAGTGAGACCCGGTATCGGATCGACCCTCTGATACCACTTGAATTCTTCAAGACATTTCAAGACTCAAAACTAGACTTATAGTACAATAGTCAAAAAGCAACCACCTGGCACCTTCAAAACAAAAAACAATGCAATATTCCATTTGAAAATGAGATCAGTTGTTCCTGTCACGAGGCAATCATAGTCGTCATTATCAACTGCTAAACTAGACAGAAGATGCCCCAACTCCAATTTGCAAACCATTTTTTGTGGACACTCGGATGCGGCTTGATGAAGAATATCTTCTCCTATCGCATTGTAGTTCTTTTCAAGTACTTGGCTTTCATCAGAACGTACAGTGTGAGTTAGTAGAAAGATGGTAATTCCTTGAGATCCAGGCGGCCCATTTTTGATCATCATGGATGACTGAACCTGCAACTGCAACATACTGGCAACTGGTTTTTGGTGGGCCACATCGGCATTACGAGTAAAACGGCTGGGCTTCCGGCAGTGAGGAGGATGTTGCGAAATAGGTTCAAGGCCTCGAGGAGTCGACGTGGATGACGCGGGATGTTGAACAGGTGGCAGAACACCGAGCACGTTTCCGTCACAATCCAAGTCTGAACCGTCCCCAGACGGTGATTCCAGATCCAATTCAATCCACTTCAAATCCAGTTCGAGATAGTTGGAGAATGTTGGAGATAGTTCAAGTGGACCAACATGACCAACCCCAACTGTGTTACTCTCCAGCTTCGTATGCCTCTTTCCGCGTCATGGGATCTGGCCTTGGAGATGGAAACTGAGACAAAACAGATCGACTTTGGATCGGCACAGTCGCAGGGTGTTCACGATGTTTGTTTGATCCAAATGCAGATGCAATTGGCAAATCGGCAAATCTGATCCAATGATTGATATCATCCATATCATGATCCCATCCAGCTCCGGCCATTCCAAATATGTCCAAATTCCAATTTGGAAGTAGCTCCAGGTGCCCAAATACGGTGCCCCGACAGGATCTCCACAGCTCGTTTCAACTGCCGCGCTGTCCGCCTCAGTGCCAGCTTGGAGCTGCACGTGTCACAGCCAGAAGGCAGACCTAATCTATCCACACCAATTCCACACCTATCCTAACCTGGCATTCAAGTCTTAGATCTTCCAAGTATTCCAAGTATGAAGTTTGTTCAGATGATTTCAGAAGTCTCAGAAGTCTCAAAGCTACGTCCATCAACTCTGCCATCCTGAGGCGTCACACGCTTGCTGCTCATCTCCACCTCAGGATTGCACTGCCAGAGCCTTGAATCCACTGATGTCACTAACAATGTTGAACTATGTTGAATTATGTTGAATTCAAAAATGTTTGTTGCACTGATCCAACTCTGAGTCATTCTGAGTCTTGAAAGATCTTGAAAGTAGGAGAGTTTGCTCTTGACCCTGGCTACCCTGGCTACCCTGGCTACCCTGGCTACCCCACCTTCTTCGATCACAGACCAGCCTTCACTGCCGATCAAGTCGATGATCTCCTGCGAAGCTGTTTGAGCTGCTTGGGATTCCAATGGATTGCAAATCTGAACAAGGATAACAAGGATCCAGAAGATGCATCTGGAAATCTCAATCTCAATGCATTTCAATCACTGGAGTCCCTGGAGCCACTGGAGCCTTTCATGTTTTTTTTTCTCAACATTTTGGAAAACAGACTGGATTCATCACAAAAGCACAGGCATTGCAGGCGCTCCGAAAGTATTGCGCTCTTCTCAACCAAAGATGAGCCGGCTGTGGTCTCCAACTTCTTCCACACCTCCACAGGTGGCATCCCGTGGCATCCGGTGGCATCCGGCCATGGTGATGTTGAAAAGATGTAGCAAAAACATCACAAGGCTGACAAGATCTGACAAGGCCACACAAATCATACAAATCCTGCCGCACCTTGCTGAACGCCTCGGTTCGATCGAACTTCCAAAACTATCAGTGCCAACTATTGCCAGCTATCACGAATCAGTGAAACATAGTGAAACCATGGCTCGCTACAATCAATGCTCAAAGGACCACATTTCTGCACCACGAAACTGCTCTGTCGTCCCAATCAGTGACAGTTGAGGTTCCTACCTGCTCTACATGTGTCGGATCAGCAAGGATCCCGTGCACACGCCTCGCCAATCGGTGTGTTGTACGATTCATCTCAGCCAGGTGTACCCAGGTATAACATATTGAGATGCGGTAAACATGATGGATGTAGCATGATGTAGCATCAATACTGACACATACTGACACATACTGACACTACAGAAGCTCAAGAATGTCTGATTCGGAAAGGACTGAAATCCTGATTTGATCAGACTGGAGATGACTGGAGCTGAGCCGTTGCCTTTGAGTGCCGATGGAATTCTCCGCGCTAGAGGCCTCGTTGATGTCATCACATGTGGCAGTGCCAACCATCTCAAAAGATCTCGAAAGATCTCAACGGTGAGAGAAGGAATAGATTGAGGCACCTGGAAATTTCCCAGCACCTTCACCAAACTGTTTCACAATTATCACAATTATCACAATTCCAGAGTCTGTTCTACACTTAGCACATCTGATATCAAATTCTGAGTGCAACGGCCAAGCCCAGGTTTCCTCCCATGACGCTGCACGGCTCTGGGCGGCAATGGCGATGTTGAGAGTGTCAAGTCTGCCACCCAAATACGCCGGACTTGAAGGGTATACATAGAAAAATCGTCAATTGATGAGTTTTTTTGCTTGGATGTTGATATGTGGCATTACTGTTGTAGACTCTTGCAAACCGACTGATGCTTGAGCATGATCTTGTCCAACAATTAGTTCGTCCAATCTACGAGATTCTTAGGCTTGGCTTTTCGATGCTGCGGATTCATGTGGTCATGGTACTAAATACCGGCCATTCACAGTGATCATGAATGATCATGATAAGCTGGCGTGAATCTGTGTAGACTTCAGTGCTGTATTGTTGTATGGACGTGTATGGAGCTGAAAGCAGTGAGACGGGTCAGCAAGTGTCACAAGTTTGCGCGTTCCAACGAGACAAGTAGCAATGATAAGGTTTCCTTTCAGCCCAAAAGTGCCGAAAAGCAGCTTGTCTCCTTGACACTGTGAATTATTGGATGTGCCAGTGTCTATTGTCCAAACCAACTGCTATGCCGCCCTGGGTCAAGAAGTATCATGTTTCAAATACAGAGATTAAATTTCATGGCCTTTTAGCATCTTTTAGCAACTTCTCACTTCCTTGGTCTTCCTTGGTCTTCCTTGGTCTTTCTTGTCCCGCTCCATGGAAGCACAATGTTTCAACATCCATCTGCCTGGTTAGCACATTGGCCGTACCTCAGACGAGATGCAGAACGCTCGATGGCCAAATGTTCATATTGTTCATTGGGCTCACTTGACTCAATTGACTCACTTGCATAATGCATCATAATGCTATTCATTGCTATTCTGCATATTCTGCTTGCATTCCCGTCCATTGCCTCACTTTCTGAAATACCGCAAGGCAAAGCTCAGAAAAACAGTCAAGCCAATTTTCGAGAGAACATGTGTTGTGAGCAGTGATCAAGTTGCAAACATGTCGCTGGAAAATAGGGAATCTGATAGGAGTTGACTGAATATAATTGAATCTGCCATTGTGCCATTTTGATTCTGAATCTTCTGATGCCTTAAGGCCTATAATTCAGTTCCTAACGCAGCAAGCTCGCTCATGATCTGTGCAAACTCCCGCTCCACTGCCTGTGAAGACATCTCACAGAGTGTGGGTTCGAACAGCTGCAGTCAGCTAAACATTGTCAATGTAGCTATGATTCTAAAGCTATCTAGCTATCAATGTCGCTATGTTTATTATAATATCATTACTATCATTGCTTTCTCATTTCAGAGCTATGTTTTAGTCATCGCAAATCTTGCGGTGCCCGTGCAGCGTCACGTTGCACCGTAGGTCTCTGGCAGTCCCTGACTTTTGGTTTCTGCACCACAAATCATATTATATCATATTCCTCTATCTACAACTAGATGGGTGTCTTTCTAATAGAATCTAATAGAGATATGATGTATCATATGAGTGAGTCATATGATGTCATATGTAAAGTAAAATTAAATATGTTTCTATTGAGACATCTGTGGAGCCTCGATTTTGTCTCTTGCTTGCATCAAGTGCTTGGTCACCTCAGAGGGCACGTCACATGTCAGAACCACAGTGGTTGAGAACAGTTTGGCCACAACTTGAACATGCCACAGAAAATGCCACAGAAAATGCTTTGAAAGCTGTGGTGCCAAGTTCAGAAACAGCCCTCTGGAGCTGTCACCTCATCGGCCGTATCGTGGTGGGCCTCTGAAAGTGCCTGCCGTCAAGCTGTGAAGCCTGAAGATGTAAGATTCTGTAAGGTATGTAAAATCAAAGATTCTAGATATCTGCGATTCATTCCAAATGTCTGGGCAATGCGGCAATTGGAGGTTGGAAGATTTTGAAAGCAGCGAAATTGCCATCTTGGCATCCTGGGTTTAGAAATTCTGAAAGTCCAGTCTCATTTTGGACAACTGGCATACACTGCATACACCGTGCATATCGTCATCCTTTGTACAGTTGCGAGAGTTCAGCTGAAAATGACAGAAAATGACATGGCCTGAAATTCTCTTGTGCCATGAAGGACATCGTCCATGAAGGATGCAACTTAGAAGTGACACGCATGGTCCAGAAATGTCCAGAAGACCGCGGGATTGCTGCAGGGTGCCTGATCTGTTTGTGATGCAACAGCCACTGGCTCAACTCCTGACCATCGGCTCGACCACAATCTCAATCCCACAGTCAATACAGCCAAGGTGTCAAATTATGCTATGCCTGCTATGCTTTAACAATGAACAGAGGTTAATGATGTTAATGAAAAAGATCGGTTTCGGGTGCCCGGTACCCGGCCTCGCAGAGGTGCTGGGCTCACCAAGGACCTGTGCAAGACGATGATGCGAAGTTCAGCAAAGTTCAAACATCGTTTTGGTGTTTTTTCTCAAGTTGTTCCAAAAAAAACTCCTCAGAAAATGGTCTAAATCTAAATAATCTAAATGTCTCAATATGTCTCAATCATAAATCGCCACATTCCGAGCGCACCTGGGAGCTGGTGAAAAATGTGAAAACGACACCTTTGCTTTCACGTCCTGCACGTGCTGGTCCTGCACCAGATGCACTGACATCCAGTGCTTGAGGAAAGTGGGTCTCATGTGGGTCCCAATGTCCTTGTTAGGGACCTGCGCTTGAGGATCGAAGGCCAAGTATGATTGCAGAGAGGCATTGGCCTGTGGCCAAAGCCGCCAAAGCTGCTTCGACCAACATCTAAAGATCGTCATTTCGCCCTGGCTGCGTCAATTTTGGATTTTTTTGAAAAGTGTGTTCCCACCTTCTCCTTGAAGCAAGACACCGCTTCAGCAACACTCACAGACCTGAGCCAGTGTGTCACTGTGTGTCACTGTGTGTCACTGGGCGCATTGGTGGATGGAGATCCCTGCAACTGCAAGGAAATCAAGGAATCAACACGTTCATAGGACATGCAGGGCCACTGAACTTCTCTCTTGATGAGATAATGTGTCCTAAATAAAGGTGTTCGAAATGGGAAAGAGCTACCTCGGGGTTTGCTATGACACAAATAAAACATCATTTCTGACCTCAAACAACGAGGAGTTTTTCCGTCTCAAAGCGTCCGTTCAACCGAGCAAAAATCCCATTGGAATGTGCTGCGAAGTCCTGCCTGGGTGGGGTCCGAGAGGAAAGTGCCTGCGGCCAAGACGGATGGTAACAAGAATGTCAGCAATCTTTATCATCCAAGAGAGCTCTGCTTGCTACCACTGTGTCAAACTGATACCATCAATGTGTCATGTGTATTCTTTTGTGCAGTAGGTCGGCCTCTCTAAATGAAGAAGACCTTAACAGGAAAGGTGATAAAACAATTATTATGATGATGATGAGGAGGAGGACGAAGAGGCGGAGGAGGAGGAGGAGGAGGAAGAGGAGGATCACAGTTTGGTTTGAACATGGCTAGTTCACGTTGCCTTTCAATGGCCTTGGCTGGATTTGGCAAATGTTCAGTCTTTTTGTTAAGCCAGCTCCTGTCCAAAGATTCTTTCCTCTGACTAAGTCAGTGTACTGTATGCCCTGGCCTGCAGAGCTGCTTGCTTTGGAGAACCTGAGCTCGATGCTGTTGACGCTTCCTAGTGGTCATAGCAGTAGCACCTGGTGTGGCGTTGATCAGTGACATCAAGTTACCTGGTTACCTTCTGGACATAGCACCGGCCCCTCTGGGGTTCTTGGCAAGTGCCCGACATTGTGCTACGGTCCACCTGTGCATGTAGACATTTCATGACATTTGGCAACTGGAATCTTGCAGGAGGAGATTGGGACTCCCGAAAAACCACAGCCTGATCCACATTCGAGAAACAGGTTGGCTTTCACGTGGACTGGAAGTATCTGGAAGTCCTATGCTCTGTAGATTGCAGATGACCCAATGGACACTAGATTCAATTTCACTGGTTATGTACAAGCAGAGTCTGGGGGCCAAAAAGGAGATTTGCAATTTCACAATTCAGAGAAGGTATTAACAAAGGTCATCATCCCAAAAACACATAGACCGTCGTGATGTTGACTCAAGCTTTGAGGCTTCTTTGAGTCTCACCGATCTGTTGCCGTTGGGACGTGATCCACTGCATGGAGCCTTTGGGTCCGCTTCAAAAGTGCTGAAAAGCGCCGTGGCAGATTCTGCCTGGGGCCGCTGCCCATCCGCTGCGTATGAAGTTACGGCCCCCAACACTTTCCATTGCAACTGTGTTCTGTCATGTTCAGTCCATTCGACATGACTTAGAATTGGAATGCTGATTACTTCTTGTAAAGATTGTATCATATTATATCATATCATATTATATCCTATTATATCCTATTATATTATATTATATTATATTATATTAAGTTATATCATATTAAGTTATATCATATTAAGTTATATCATATTAGTCAACATTATTCAACCATATTCAATCTATGTTGACCTGTTTGGCTCGAAGCTACACAGTCCTGAGTTGCTGCCGCTGCAGCTGCTCGTGCCCCCGAGGTGGGCCTCGAACAAAGCTGTTGAAAATGCCATGGAAAGTGAAACCTTTCTATACTAAACTCTATGCCAATCCAATAGCTTACAAGACTTCTATAATTATATAATTATATACAATCTTAACTATACAGTGGAACCAAGAGTTCTGCCCACAGGCGCGGTGCATCTTTGATTCTTTGTTCGCCATGAGCCTCCTGGGCAACGACCGCCATGCAGGCAAGCGCTGCATGAGATCTACAGCTGTGACTTGCTGTGACTTCCTGTGACTTGTTCTGTCACAGTTGCGGAACAAGATGTTCATTGCCGAACTCCAATTCCGATAGCCAAGTCTTACTGAAACAGTGTGGTTGCGGTTGAAAGCATCTGTCTGTGATGAGCTGCAAGGTTTGCGAACATGGTTTCAACTTCACCATCTGCTAGGATCTTGTTGAAACAATGTTAACTTATCCAGGCAACTTACGAGGTTGTTCATGTTGCTCTACATCGTTCTTTCTTAAATCCGGGTGACGATACATGCAACACTATAATGTTGCGCATGTACGGTGTACAGATGTGGAGTCTGTGGAGTCCTAGAGCTCAGGATTTGTTGCTGTGACACGTAGGGCGCAGTTTGAGTCAAGCTTGCCACTGGGTTTGCCATGGATAGCTGTTTCCGAAAAGAAGTGTGCCTTCGTCCATCACAAGCCATAACAAACAATCCATCACAAGCCATGGCAGGATACGTTCAAATGGGCTAGGGACATTTAGCTTCCACACCAACAAAACAAAGAAGTCTTTTGGCTCATATGGCTATGGGTCAATACCTGTTAATACCATTTTTAGTGGGATGAACATCCATTTACCAGCTATTTTGATGTGAACTACAGGGGTACAAGGTTTTGACTCATAGCCATATGTCATTCCCATCGATTCGCCAGCGCCCCAGGACTGCAGTTTTTTCTTGGTGTCGACCGGGTCTTCAGCCGCACGCGGCAGGAGCAGTTCCATTTCGACTGGAGTGACACGGTGATCAACCGCCTTTGGTTCTCAATTTTGAGAATCGGAACATGGGAAAAATCCCCTAAATCCAGCACTGTCAGTACTGTGCAGTACTGTGAAATCTAGAAGATTGACATGTACAGTAGACTGTGTACAAACATATCAAACATGAGCTTTAAGAAGTTTCAAGGGTACAGCGCACTGGCTCACTGGACCGGGGACCAGGAAATGCGAAATTGCAACATGTCGTGCAATCGCAACCCTGTCCCTGTCTACGGTGAAACGAGTGTTGTGGAGCCAAACTGAGCCAAATCTCAGTGTCTTTTGAACATTACACAGCGCTTTGACAGGTTTCATCCATTCTGATCCCTGGCCCCTGAATTTATTTGTGCTCTAGTGCTCATTCAACAATGGCCAGGAAACGGCAACACTGCTGAATGTTGAAGTCACTTTAGTCACTTTAGTCCTCACTCTGTCACTCTGGCTCTCATCTGGAGAATTGCCTCCCGAATTGAGCTCTTATCCGGCTTCTTGAGCCTTCATTTTTTCCACTTCTCCTTTCATGGACTCAATCTTTTTCCGCATACCTGGAGCAAGGAAAGGGTCCATGTGACATGGCAAGATGAAAACTGGGTCTGAGAAAAGTTGGTCTCATTCGGAAAATATGTCAAGCACTCCCTCATCCATATCGTGCCAAACCATTCAGGGCTTCTTGGTCAAGGGTCCATAATTGGCTTTAGAACGGAAATAGTCTGTCCAACTGTGCAAGTGCAAAGCTGCAGAAGGAATAAATAGTTTCTTAAAGAGGATTATAAACTTTGTTAAACCTTGCATGTGGTGCCTCGATCGTTCAAAACTCGCTCTGCTCACGACTGATATCGCCCCACTGAGTTTTGCACTCGTAAGTTCTGAAACCAAAGAGGCGTTCTCAGTGACCAATCCACCAATGTCATCCTGGCCGAGTCTCTCCCAAGGATCGTGTAATGAACGAAAGCTCCGTTGTGATCGGGACCACTGCATTTGGAAACCAGTTTGCTGATTTCAGATGCATCATTTGATTCTTGATTTCAGATATTTCAGATGGCTTTTTTTCGAGATTCGTACTGATTCATATGCAGTCATCAAATATTAAAACTTGCTGATAGTCTTCACTCCGCATAACATGATGAAAAGAATATTACATATTGACATATTATATGAAATATATTGAAATAATATCTTTCACCGATGCATCGCTTGATGTGGGGTCCTTTGCCGCAGCCAAGTCAACTCCTGCAAGATTCCACCGAAGGAGCGCAAAAGGAAAAGCGGGTGGGAAATCCATCACGAAGGAACTTGGGAAACGGCAAAATGCCCGCTGCCACTGCTATCAATGCTACCACTTGACATGTGGATCATGTGGAAATGTGATGGAAATTTGCAGCAACAGCAGCTCAAATTGTGCAGGATTTTCTTGACACAGGTCGAACCTGCTGGATCCTCTCCGACCTGCAACGCTTGGGTCGTTGGACACTTTACTTAGTTACTTATATTATCTTATTGTATCTTAGTTTACTCTCAGTTTACTTGCATGCCATGCAAAACTTGTGCTCACTGTCACATCGTAGTCACTTACTGGAAGCAACTGCATTATCCCTAAGGCCTATGGCATTGACTTTCCCATATTTTGCTTTCAATTTGTTTCCTGCGTGTGTTGTGAAGCTATGTCGCCCTCACAAATGTCAAGCCCGTGAGTCCCAACATGTCCCAACCATCCGCCCGTGGCCAGAGGCACCTCTTTGGCCAGTTCCGAGTTTTCCGCCAGAAGCAACTTGTACCTCCGTAAGTTTGACACCACTGGAGATGTGTCCCAATTCCCTCTAATACTCTAAACGGCTGGTGAGCAGCACTCCAAATATCTTCAAATGATGTCTTTTGCATGCTTATTGATCTTATTGTAGGATATTGTAGGTTTTGTATGGTTTTGTATGGTTTTGTTCGTATCTTCTTCGTATTTTTTGGGTATCTCATTGTTGCTTGAATGGCCCACCATGGCCCCCGCCGGGCGCGGCCTGGTCTTCAGCATGTTGAGCATCCCCCGGAGCTCCTCATTATCCTTCCTCAACTGCTCACCTGTCGATGTCGTCGCATGATGTCGCATGATGTCGCATGATGTCGCATGGCACATCGTGGCCGATCCAAAGAAATCCGGGCCAATGAAAGTTTACAAATGGAGAGAAATACGGGAAATGGATGGAAATGGCCATGAATCTGGCTGTATTTCAAGCCGACATTTAAACGCGTTGACAGTCACATTTTCATTTCATGAATTTTCTGTAGTTCCATTCCATCATTTTTGGCGCGCCTGCAGCTTCAGCCTGCTGTTGAAGCGCTTGCAACTGTTCTGCCGGGACGGAGTCCGACGCCTGTTCAACGCTTCATCATGATTTATCTATATCACAATCACAATGCTGTGTATAGAGATCCGGCAGTTTCAGCATTACTTCAGCATCTCAACCCAAGGCATGCATTCATCATCATTCATCAAATAAATGGAAGAGCCGCCTCCGACGAGAGCTTCTGAAGAATTTCTTCTAACTGCTTCTCCTTGGCTAAGCTTAGCATTGATTCAACATGATATGCAGCATATGCATTGATTCGACGATCTCTGTCGTGTAAAGTCGTGTATCGGTTCTGAGCTGCTCGACTCACATCCGGTAACAACACTCGGTGTCCGGCCGAGTCAGTGCTTTCACGAGTTTGAGTCGCCTCAGGCGTTGGACTCTTGGACCCTGGAAACGTCAAATTTACCCGGGCCGGCCCGGACGCATTTGCAAGGCAGAAGTGTGAAGTGACCCAAAAATGGCGTTGCAAGTCAACTAGACTTGAAAAATGGTCACACTGCAAAAAGATGTGACAGGAAAAACATGTTCGTTGAGCAAATCTGAAACAATCATAAACATCATAAACAATCAAGGTCTATACTTCTGACCTTGGAAATCACCAGTAGGTCACGCATAGGTCACGCGGGTCATGGAGCAGTGACACTATGGCGCACTAAGACGCCCTGAGAAATGCACCACCACTCTTTTGGTCACTTGTCGCTGCATGAAGCCATACCTCACAAAGTCAAAGTACCAGCTTAAATATGCTTAAATGATCTTAAATGCATTGAACATCATTTCAAAAGCTTTGAAACGGATGGTTTGAGAGCAACTCAATTGCGCTCATTAAGTTCTCAGTTTCATGAGTTTCACGTCTTGAGTGGCGAGGGTAGATGATGGTAGCATATGGTAACACTCTCCAGCTTTCACCAGTTCATTGGCGCACGGATCTGCAGGCTTGTCCTAAAAAAGCGGAGTTGCTGAGACATCGATTCGTTGATGAAACCGATAGGACCGATTCGGACCGATTCGGACCGATTCGGACCGATTCGGACTGATAGGTGGAAGACTCAACAACTGATTCAACTGATTCAACTGATTCAACATGGAATGGTTGGAAGCTTGGTTTAAATGTTCAAGCTACGGTCTGTTTCATTCTGCTTCCCAAGCACGCCTTCATCAAACTTTGGATCAGGAACTGCATGAAAGATGTCAAGCCGTGGGCCTGAAAAGTGTTACAAGCACTGAGAGCAATCCTTTGCATGGCATTTGGCAGATTCGAACATGTTCAACTCGCAGTTGCTCAGCACTACATTTCCTCTTGTCACATCTTGTCACCTCCTGTCACATCCTGTGTCAATTCATTGCTCAATGGTGGCGCCGGAAAGGATATTGATCCGACGGTCCTATCCTTCTGATTGGCCATGTTTCCGGGACAAGCTGCATGATGCAAACAGGATCTATCAGGGGAACGAGCCAATGTGCTCAATACCCCTGCTACCCAGAGAAAGCTAACAGAGTCCAAGCATGTCCAAGCCATGTTTGCTGTAGAGACTTCAGAACTCGGGCAAACAAATGGCCACACTCTAAAATCTGCAACTGCATGCACTGCATGCTTGCGCAACTGTTGCCTCCAAATATGCTTTGGCCGCATCTTCCTTCTTCTTTTCCACTTCCTGCAGACAAGATTCAACCCAAACACGGCCAAACACCGCCAATAATATCCAAGGGTACCTTCCCCAATTCCGTGATTGACATTCCAAGACCTTGTCCCTCGATTGTTGACTGATTCGTCCATCTAAATATTCATCCATCCAGTTTCTCATCTTGTCAGCTCTCCTCTCATCCATCCATGTTTCTGCTATTAGCTGGCAAAAACATGCAAAAACGAGCAAACAAAAGCACTAAGGG